TGATGAAATATCAACCACAAAAATAAAGACAATGGTGGAAATAGGGGATATGAGGACAGATTCTTGGCACTGGAACTTTAGATGGAATAGGCGATTAATTAGATCTTCAGATACATCACAACTTCAGCAGCTTATTTTCTTGATTATTAAATGGGGTCAGCTTGAGTACATATATAGAGGATTTGAGACAATGGGCACCTCAAAGCACTGTACAACATACTGTCATTGAACTACTTGATAAAGTACAGTATCCAAGTATTTTCATGATACAATCAAAAAATTAATATTTTTAAATATATAAATATTGAAGTAATAAATAATTTGGTAAAATTAAGACCAAACGATAAGAAGGTGAACTATATAAAATTATAAATAATAAATAAAAAAGAGTTGAAGAGAATTCTTAAGATGTACTATTAATATAAGAATCAAACAAAGATAAAATCATTGTTAAGGCTAAAAGATCCACTAATGGTATTTCAAATAAATATAGTATAAACTATTTTTATTACTCAACTAGAAACCATACACAAAAGAGGTTCCAATCGGATTATAAATTGTTAACATAATTATATTAGTTATCTTATTTTAATAATGTTAATACTTGTAAATGTTGTAAGGTATTCATGATATTAATTTATGTTAACAACAAATCAAATTCCTTTCATAACATAAGTGTCAATTATACCATACGATTGGGCTATGAAAGTGTCAAGTATTTGTTGTATCAAGGGTTATACAGCATAAATCTAGATTAACCATTTAACAAGCAAATTATTAAAAGTGAACAACATAACAAATATAAAACAACTAGTTATTAAATTTAATATGCATCTAAAATAAGAATATTATTTTTTTCATTTCTAGTATGTTAAATTATACAAATATCATTTAGTTTTTTAGAAATTTATCCATATGCACACAAGTAAAAACATATTTTTATATTTTTATTTGATTATGAAAATTTTTATTTTTTATAATTTTCTGAAATTTTGAAGAAAAACTTGAGTATTTAATACTAGGTCAGTATTTTACAATATAAGTTTATAGCCCGAATATTAAATAAAATGGTTGGAAAACAATGTGAGTGACCCAAAAATAATTTTAAAATGGTCCTTGAGTTTTTTGTATAATTTTTTGGAAATTATTTGGGCTCGAAGAAAAATAAAAATATTTAATACTGGGTTAGCATTTTATAGTATAAATCTACAACTCAAATATTAAATAAAATAGTTGGAAAAAAATGTGAGGGATACAAAAATAATTTTAAAATGATTCTTGAATTCTTTTTAGAATTTTTTAAAAATTATTTGGGATCTATTTGACTAAAATATAGAAAAAAAATTACTAAATATAACAGTTCTACGTACAATCATTAGTACCTTTGATGATGCTGTAAGATTTTATTAAATAAAATGGTTATGACACATTGTTTGAGATCATTTTTTTCTGTTTGTTTTCATGTTTCAAAAGGACTTTTGAAAAAATTTAAATTTTTATTTTATTTTTTCTTTACTTTAAATTAATATGTATTTTTGATGTTCTTAGATCATTTTAATGCACTGAAGTTAAAAATAATTTTTAAAAAATTAAAAATATTATTTTGATATACTTCTGAATAAAACTTTTTTTCAAAAATAATCACAAACATACTCTCAAATACATATATGTTTGCTTTATGATTGAATACAATTAAAAAGAAATTTTTATACGCAGGTTTGGATTTGTTTAAAGGTTCAGAGGGGATCTTTTTTTTGGTCTTTCAAATAGAACTATCTTCGTAGACTCATAAGGATTGTTTGGATATTTCTTCCCTGTAACTCTTTCAAATAGAACTATCTTCGTAGACTCGTAAGGATTGTTTGGATATTTCTTTCCTATAACCTCTTCCTTTCTTTTTTTCTTTTTTTTTTGCTATCAAAGAACCATTTCAACCTAAAAGTTTAAGATGTTAGGTGAGATTCCAATATATGATTTATATTATTCTTTAACCCACTCCTCAAGTGAAAGCTCTTTGGACTTGAAACTTGCACAAATTCACATTTATATGCTTAATTTTATCAAATAAATAGGAGAAAGCTCTTTGGACTTGAAACTTGCACAGATTCATATTTATGTGCTTAATTTTATTAAATAAATAGGGAAGACGAGATTCGAATTCGTAACCGCTTATTCATTAACACTCTGATACTATATTAAAAAATCATCTCAATTTAAAAATTTAAATTATTAGATAAAATTCTAAAATATAATTTATATTATTTTTTAATATTAATTAGCTAGCTCAAATTTTGATTCTAGCCTCATTTCAATAATAAAATTTGATTATTAAAAAAAAAAAAACCCTATTCGGTAGGTAACGTTGGTGTATAGAATAATGCAAAGAATTCGGCAAAGGGGATTTGGACAGGAAGACAATTCGATAAGTACTTAAGCAGCCAGTCCACTCGGGACTTGGTCATATGATACCCTTGGCAATCAAGAGGAAAACATAAGACGATCCTTTGTGTCTTAGAACGTCATCAACCCTACGGTCGGATTGAGGGCATCCCATCCAGCCAGGTTCCTCATGGCTTATGGTTATCTATGCCAAGTACCTTGTTGTCAAGTTGGGGTACGTAGCCCAGCATGGATTATGTCTTAAGATTTTATCTTCCTTAGTTGGCTATTTGTTATTGAAGGAAGGGAGTTTGTCGGGTGGTGTGGTGATTTCATACCCGAGCAGTTGTTGTGTGCTTTTATAGCTTAGTAAGCTAAAGTATTTTCTTTATGTATAGGCAAGGCGTTAAAAAGAAAGAAAGAAAAGTTAAGAGAAGAATTTGCATTAACACACCTTGAGAGCGTTTGGAAACACAGTTATATCTATATTTTTAAAAAAAATTAAATGTTTTTATTAAAAAATTGATTTTTTTAGTATATTTTGAATCGTTTTAATGCGTTGATTTTAAAAATAATTTTTAAAAATAAAAAATAAAAAATATTATTTTAATATATTTCAACATAAAAAATACTTTAAAAAATTAATTACAATTATATTTTCAAATGTACCGGTTCAATAATAATATTTTTGAAGATATTCATAATGTCAAGTTTTTGTTTGTAAAACTTGCCTGTGATTGTAGCAGCCGCAGCCGCAGCCGAACAGGTTTTTGTCCAGGTTGATTCTCGTTTCTTTCCTGTCTGTTTCTCCCATTTATTTTTATACCTTATAATTAGAGCAACCACTTTCAGTCGGGATCGTGGCTTTAGTGTTGAGCAGGAATGGGGTTCTTCTATGGAAGCTTTTCAAGTCATCTTGCATGCTTGCAAGATCTTACCTAGAATGTCAACACATTCTTCCTTTGCCCCTTCCATTTTCTTATTAAACAGGTTTTTATTTATGAATTTAACCCAATGCGGTTCAAATAGAGATTTGTTAAAATTTAATTTAAAAAAATAATAATTTTTATATATTTTTTAATTTTTTAATATATTTTTAAATAAAAAATATTTTTAAAAATAACTACTAATTTTTATGCGAGGCAAGGAGAACCAACGGCCAATGTAATCATCTTCGACACTATGGACCATTGTGAGTGATCAATACCTTTTTTTTTTTTTGATTTATGTGGGGTGTTCGGACTGTTTGTGCGCATTTTTTTTTGATTTACGTGGGGTGTCCGGACTATTTGTGCGCATCACGACTAATTCCCACGGCCCACTGAATACCCTACAAATCCAGTAGACATGTGAGACACCGCAGGGATGACAGACATGCACGTCAGGACTCGAACCTAAATGCAATGAAAAAAGACAAGCTTAAGACACCGCAGGGATGACAGACATGCACATCAGAACTCGAATCCAAATGCAGTGAAAGGAGACAAGCCCCTGGTGGACCAAGCACTGGTTTGCGTGATCAATACTTTTGGTTGGCCGAAACATCACCTTGCTAGATGTGATATGTGCTCGAATTTATGCTTCCATCTACTTGAAGAAACATTCAACAACTACCAGCACAAATTGTTTCTTTCTAGAGGCCTCGAGAAAAGGGCCGAATATGGCCATCCCTCACGAGGAGAAGGGACCCGACATCCATCATCTTTATTGATGGTAATCTTTCGCATTTATCGCCTTTTTTCACCAGCTCTTTATCGTCTTGGAGAATTCAACATTCCCGAATGGTCTAGGGGACTCGGGCCTTTACTGCCATGTGCATGTCGCTCATCCTTTCATACATTTCCTTGTGAGGGAAATGCATTTCATAAACAAAGACACTGAATTTTTTTATTTTATTAATATGGATATCCGGCTAAATTATATATATTTCAATTAATCTTATATAAATCTCTAACTGATGATCTCCAAAAAAATAAATCTAAAAACTGTCTAATTAAACTGAACAGACTAATTAAACTGGAACATTCAGAGCGGTACAAAACACTAGATCTTTGTTCACCTAGATTTTTACAAAACATCGGAGGAGGTAAGGAATGACTTACCATCCCCTCACGTCACGTCGCATTTTTTTTCATGGAAAAGGCTTAAGGGCAACACACATAGCCCCAGGTACATTTGACTTGTTTTGCTATATTAAGAAGCGTGGCAGCAAGTGTTTTTTTTTTTTTAGAAATATGTTTACACTGCGTTTGCGTTTCCAAACAGTACCCTAATCTCGTCACATAGAGTCCCTTTTGCTAACCAAAATGCATCCTCACCTTGCCTGTTTCCATGTGGGTAGAGATTGTGACATGGTACCTCTAGTGAACGAGTACAAAGACCAAATTGAGATGCAGAAAATTTTAGAAATCATCATGAAAGAGCAAGACGATCTTACCAGTTCAAAAGGCAAATTCAAAGGCCCATAACTTGATAGCAAACCATAAGGAATCAAAGCTTGTTTTCAATGCTGATAGCGTTACAAGATGTAACCCAATCAGAATACGACTTCGTTTTTTGCTGACATGGGATTGATATTCTAAGCAATGCTGTCAGTGCGGAGATAATTTAGCATCTACATGTGGTTCTCCTATTTAAGAACGTAATAAATGGTTCAAGGTATGCTCAAATTGATCAGCAATCCAATTCTTTTACATGGTAAAGTACAATCAAATAGGGGTACATACAACATCTTATATTGATTTTGCTACATACAATATTATCTCTCTGACTTTTTCCTAGCATTTCTTTACAAAAAAATATCATTACACGAAGCGTGCAAGAATCACGAATTAGTACAATCAGAAAAGCAAGCTTGATTGATTCATAACAGATTGAGACTCTCCCAGGTGCACTTGGTTTGGACAAGAGTCAGGCATGCGAGACCTCTTTCTATCTAACTTCTATATGATCACCCTCATTTCACAAGTAACAAATAAAAAATTTGTATCATGCAAGCTAGCATTCTTGATGCCGAGAGGAAGCAGGAATGGCTCAAACAAAAGACTACAAGAGCATCATGGTAACAGCTGAGGCAGCAAACAGCACATAAAATATCGCATCTTCATTGTAAAGACCTGTGAAGCAACAGATGTTTAGTCGGGTAGAGGCCATTGTGAAGTTAAAATCGTTCTTGGTGAGGAAAATGAAAGACCTTCCTTCTAATCCAGTATCTAGGTTATTGAGGAACACTTGTAAAATAAATAAATATACATTTGAGGGATAGCACGCGTAGATGGGGTGCTCTTTCCATATCAATGAAAGCTGGTAAAGTTTCCAACTCTTCTAAGAAATTACAAAAATACATATGTGCCATCCAATTCACATGCTAAGCTAGAAGTAGAAGATCAAAGATACTTATAAATAATATGAAACAATCAATGAGATTTATGCGCCCATAACTCTAATCAGTTTATTTTATAACTACAGCCTTCCTTCTTTTCAATCACATGACTGCTTAAAGAAAGAGTTGCAGGACTCAAGATCATACATACTAAGTGCTCATAGATATAGTTGGGTCGGGTTTGATTCATAGTTGCATCCAACCCAACTTCTAATATTTTATAAATTGTAAACCCGACACATTCAATTTTTTTTGGACATGAGTGGGTTGAATATATTGAGATGGGCTAGATTTTTTGTGGATATTACAGATATAAACAGGTTAAGTTTATATTGCTAATTTTTATGGGTCTACATTTAGAGACAAACCTACAATATGAATTGTAGGTGCCACTGCACCCACAACGTTAGGTCTAATTTTTATATTTTTGCGCTATCATTAAATTCTAGTTACCTCACTTCTCCTCTATAATAAAGAGACTTTTTTTGTTACGTTAAAGAAATATAATAGAAAGTCCACTACAAACATATCTAAATAAAATAAAAATAAATACTCAATCTACAGCTATCAAATATAAAGACAAAAGGAGTATAGGGTATACAAGTTGGGTTGGGTTGGGCTGACCGGGCTTCAAAAATCCCAACCCGCCACCTAACCCGCGATATTCATTTCTTATGTTTTTTTGCCCACTATCAGCTGTAATATTGATATTATCTGATTTTAACAGATTGAGAAGAGTCAGATAATGCAAATATTACAATAGGATGGTTTTTTTAACATCCAAAAGCCAGCTTTATGAATTATGATGGTTAAACACATTAGTTTTGTTTTCTGGATAGTGGTATTCTAGTGAAAGAATGAGCACAAGTATATTCTTACCACTTTGAGCATTTGCAGCAGCAGGAAGTGCTGGGATTTTGATGGCTGCAAATCAAATAAGTTCAGGTAAACATCATTGAATATGGAAGAGATGAAATAGGAACTTAAATAGCCAAAATAACTTCAACTATAAAATGAAGAACTATCCAACGAACTAGTCATGACTGGGACATACTTTTATTGCACGGTGCTGATAACTGAGACTTTGACGGCCATGGAGCAGGAATATTGTCATTCAAATCACAGATGAAGCTGATCCCCGAGGAATGGCCAAATGTTGCATCCGACGGCAAGCTTGGTAGAAGGCATCCAGACTCTAAGGGGAAAAGAAGTGGATGAAGCAAAGAAATTCAATTCAATTCTATACATATAACGCAAGCTACAGATACTCTGTGCAAAGAAGGCTAATCATGGTAACAAACACAAGAGAATTGGTTAGAATCAGCTGCCCAATACCCATGGCTGAAATCAGATTTTCTGTCAGGTGCTCAACGGGCACTGATAATTTGGGCATGCTTATGTGGGTTCTAAGTTTGCAAACAATAAAGAAAATTTCATAGAATTGTTCCATAAGGTACATATATTACCTTGTTTTGCAACTGAGGTGTGCCATTGTCAATTACCAGAATCGTATCAAAATAGCAAAATAAGAAAAGAATCCTGCGTTAGTATCTGATTTAAATTTGTCTGGCAGAAAACTGAGATTTGATAGAGGGCACTAAAGAAAAAATGAATTATTAAAAATAGTGAAGATATCAACCTTGAAGGGAGAAATCCTTAAGGGTTATGTGACAAAGGCTATAAACATCTTTTGTGATATTAGACCTCTGTAACTTCATTCCTAGAGTTGTAGCACAATCCAGAGCTTGCAAGTTAGTTATAAGACTCTGCTTCTGCAAGTGAGACACATAGCTCTCCATGGCACTACAGCATTCTGTCTCGTTACTAATCTCATTCCCACAGCCCTTTGCAACATGTCTCATGTCAGGGAAAACCAGAGGGCAAACTGAAGCAGAAAGCACAAAAAAAAAAGAGAAAAGAACAGTTACTGGTGAGGCCCGCTGACGGGATTGTGGTCTAGGTAAAGTCGAGAATCAAGAACAATGTGCCAACCCGCATAAAAATACTAGCAATGAGCAAACATAAAGCGGCACATCTCATATGGAAAGTTAACACTTTTTTGTAAAGAATCAAAGATGTCATTATTACTTTCAACAAAAGGACAAGTAGGATCTACTAGCATCTTCAATGAAAATCTGCTTCATGTGCGTAGTGGTGGCAAGACTGCCAATGCACAAAGCACCAAAGAGACATCAAAAGACATTTAAGATGCAGAGTGCTGAAGCATATTACATGCTTGCATGCACACTAATAGATACATAGTCACTTTTGGCGTCAAAAGATACCTATTAGAAGAATACTTGACTAATTATTTGAAAATCCACAGATGTGCCACATACAATCATCACAAGATTGTCCGCAACTGAACAAATGCCCTTTCTAGCCACAAGAGAAAAGCAAGTTTGTGACATCCACATTTTAAAACTCACCTTTATTAACTTTGCAATTAGATAGTCCTCTGAGAACCTCCTTTGCACGGGAAGGCTCAAGTTTACCAGCCAGCCATCGAAGTACAATATGTTTACAATCATCAACCTTTGTTGAGTGCTCAGTTAAACCATGGGACCCAGCTATGATCAATACTTCAGAAGCTTTCAGTGCAAGTTTTGTAGCAGTTTCTAATATGGAATTTTGACAAACTTGATCACAACATTCTTTAACAGGATCAATATTCTCGCAGGCAGCAAGAAGCTTAGAAGAATCCACAGTTCCCTCAAATTCATTGACCTCCTTAACAGGGCAAGACCCTCCAGTGAGATTTGATAGATGAATTGAGCATATCTTATTCACATTACTTTCTGCACCCTGACCAGCCAAAATTTGCTCGATATCTGAAAGGCAATACTTCGAAACAGTCTCATTTAAAGCAAGAGTTCTGGTATCTTTACTGGATTGGCCCATAAGAATTGCAAGGGTGGCTTCTAACTGGGGACAGCATATAACATTAGCCAGCAATGGCGCAAAAATAGACCAACAATCAGTTGATGTCGTTCTCATCAAACTTTGAGCAGCAGTGAAATTCAACGTGCATTTTCCTACAAAAAGATGACATCACCATATTTAGAACAAAATTGGGCCTTTCAACTCAAATGCCACAAAAAATAAATTATGACCGGACTAACCTGATAACTTTGGGATCGTAATGTTTGTGAAAGGTGCGAAAGGAGAAGGTGCAAGAAGAGGAAGAAGGGGCTGAGGAGCTGAATTTGGAGAGATCTCAGGCAAAAAACCATCCACTCTTCTGTCAGTTGACAATGAGCCTCCATGATTATTGAATGGGCTGCAGTGACATTCATTCAGACCTATAGCAGAAGGATGGGCTCAATGTGAAGCATATGTAAAAATAAAAGCATCCATGCACCACTACATTGTCAACCACTCTTGAAAATCAAATGCAATTTAAAGGGATCATTTGAACTTAATTTACAATCAGAAAACCAATGAGAAATCCGAATACTTGAAGCAAATGTAATACAGCAAGATAAGTATAATACTTGAATGTTTTGTATACAGAAAAAACAGGCTATAAAGGATATTTCCAAGAGCAAATGTTATGCAGCAAGATAAGCATAGCTTATAAACAAATGAAGCACTAACTACATGGCCGATCACCCATGCACCAGCCACATAGATCCCTGTCCAATTTTCTTAAACATTAATCACCATACTAAGTATAAATACCCATAGCTTATAAACAAATGAAGCACTAACTACATGGCCGATCACCCATGCACCAGCCACATAGATCCCTGTCCAATTTTCTTAAACATTAATCACCATACTAAGTACAAATACCCAAAGATATGGAAAAAAAAAAAAAACCTGACCTCTCCCCTGATCATAATGTCTGTTAAAGAATGATTCTCCTGAAGTAGGATATAAAACTACACAAGCAGTTGGGTATAAGTAACAAAAATATTGCTTTTCTCAGAATCATGACAGCAAAAGATGCTTTAACAGAACCTAAATCATGTTAACAACTTGAAAGCCAACTCCTCGCCAAAATGGCAGGTATAGTACATCACATCAAGAATAAAAGAAAAACATTACAATTACACCCAATGTTACAAGCATCAAGTAAGTAAAGCAAATTTTGCCTAATAATCACATTAAATGAAATCACTCCAAACCTGACAAAAATCTTCTTTCTTTATTTTTCATGTGCATATGAAAGGAAACCTAAATGAGCACCGAACCTAGAACCGCATCACATTATACATTACCAAAAACAAAGCAAAAGACACACTACGCTCGAACAACGATCATAGCTTTAATATTATCAACAGGAGGTAAAGCAACACGACAAAGGGCAATAAGTTAAAGAGTCAATATTGCATATCAGCTAACATCAAATCAATAACCCTACACAAAGTCTAAAACTTTAGGCTACAAACCCACTAAATTAACAAATTCCAGAAACCCCATTTGCACAAACCCTTCATGGGAAACCATAAAATTACCAAAACCCAATTACATTCACTCCACAAAAACATCAGCTTGAAACAACCCAACTGAGAAAACTCACGGATCATGCAAAAATAACCAAAACCCATAAAACAGAAAATAAGAGCTAAAATACTCACTCAAAATCAAAAGAAACACCTCCACAAAAACCATACTCAGACTCAGCTTCACCTTGAGAGACACCCCTTCACTCATTCCTCCACTGAAATAAAATTTAAAAAAAAAAGGCAGCAAGAAGCCCAAAAGAGACTAAATGAAGTGAAAAGCAAGTGTTAGTGATGAAAAGTAAGTGACTTGGAATTCAGAGGAGGGTAATAGTGGGTGACTACTGAAGAGAGAAGAAGCCATGAATGCAAGCTTGTTAATGTCATAACTCATGAGTGTGTGGGGACAAGTGCAGTTTCACAATAACTGTACACTAAAGACAAGGAGAGTGTCTTTACTATTTGCGCATGCATTGGGCCCCGCACAACATTAGAGATAGCTACAAAGGTGAGATCTAGACTGCAGTGGCGTTAGCATGCCATCAATTGCCTTTTCCTATCATTTCTCCACTTCTTTGCTTGCCAGCATTATAGTTTAGATATGACATCTGTGAAACGAAAGATATATTATATATTTTATGTTTAATATTAGGTTCAGTTTATATGCCCTTTGCTGCGGGGTCGGTATTGATATGGAAAGCCAAACGAATTTTAAAAGTCTATCACGTTAAATGTGTGAGAAGACATTTTACTAAACTCATGTTAAATTATATGATAAAAATTAGAAAAAATTATAGAATTGAAAAAAAAATATGTTAATTTTTTAAAGTTATCATCTAAGTCATTACACTTGAGCTATTCAATCTACAAAAATTACAAGTTTAATTTTTAATAAATTAAATATTAAATCATACAAAAAAATTTTAAAAATAATAATTAAAAAAATCTAAATAAAAATTAATATTGTTACTAACATTAATAAAAAATATCATCAATATTATTATTCCTATCATTATTAAAATCATTATTATTATTATCATTAATATTATTATTCTTATTATTATTAAAATTACTATTATTATTATCATTGTTACTATTGTTATCGCTATTATTATTATTATTATTATTATTATTATTATTATTAATAGTGATAATAATAATTTTGTTAGTATTATTACTATTTTAAAAATAATTATTATTAGTATTATTATTATCATTACTATTTTTCTTCTCTTTTGCATGATAATAATAATAATTACTACTATGATTATTATTTCATTTAATATTATTTTGTTTTGTTAATTGTGTTTGTACTAATTAATATATATATATATATATATCAATTAATTTCTTGAATTTCTAAAATTAATGTTTATGAAAATCTTTAATAACTTTATGATTTATAACACTTAAACTCTTAAACTTTTATAATTTACAACACTCAAATTGATAATTTATAAATTTCGTTAACAATTTTAACAAGTTATTGAATATTCCGTTTGTTATTTTGGATGATTTTAATTGATTAATAGAAATATCAAGATAATAAGTTAAGATATAATAATATAATATAAGTTCAATCCATGTATACATGTTCCTATCCCTCCTCATGCATGCATCATCAACATTTATGTTTGTTTTAATTAATATTGGACCATACTTTCTCAAGTAATCTCACACACAGATTATTGGGCTAAATCATATGCACTTCCATTTTTCTATGCTTTCAGATTACGCATCGATGGCTAGTTTAGGACTTCTTGCATGGTTCTCTCTTCCACGGAACCTCAAATATCAAACTTAAAATAAATAAATAAATAAATAAATCTATTGATTGCTCACATGTTCAGACATTTGCAAATTGAAATTGTCTGAATATTTGCTATTGCTTTTTAAGCTTTTAGAGACACCCTTGAGTTAAGGAGTTTATATTATGTCTTAAATTCGTTTCTCTTTTAAATCAGAAACTACAAATCACTAATTAAATTAAATTAAAGGAGATAGCCTTAATTAAATAATGTCCGGAGGTATTGCAATAATAAGTATATATAATTATGTTGATAAAGTCATGCATGTTGAAGTTTTCCACCATTTTTCATCCCCCCAATAAAAATAAAAATAAAAATAAAATAACTGATTGGATCAGACCACTGTAAAAAAAAAAATAAAAAAAAAATAACTGATCGGATCAGACCACTAATTCTAGAATATCTTATTTGGCTTAGCCATGAAAAGGAAAAAAATAATTTTTTATAATTAAATAAGGAGTAGATGTACATGAACATTATCATATATCCAGCCTTCCTAAATTTACAAATATACCTCAAGTATTTGGGAACTTCCCCTAACAAAAACATCGAGGAGGGTAATCAAAGGAACTTGGTTTCTACATGAACAATCCATTAATTCACTTCAGGAATGCTTTGCAAGGCAGGCTTCCAGTGCTTATGATTAAGATCCATTCCAAATTTAAGATCATTAGAGTTTACCAACATACCCAGGACTTGTTCCGTGGACAATCCCTGAATACCAACCCTTGCCATTATCTCTTCTAGCTCCCTCTTTGTAATCCTAATCTTCACCTCCCTAGCAGAACCTGAAGACAAAGAACCTGTGCCCAGTAGCCTCTGTCTCTCCACGTTAGCACCATGTTCTTCATGGTCATCAGCTCCATCAAACATTGTAGCGTGATGATGCTTGTGATGTGCCATTGACGCCCAATCGTCATCGGCCCATACGACCGACGACGATGCACTCTTGCAACAATTTCCCATGGTGTTTATTGATCAAGTTTGCAGAATAATAAAAGATCTTGAATGAATGAATGAAAGGAGAGATTCTGGACGAGGAAAGGCTGTGCTATTTATAGATAGGAGAAGGAAGTAGAAATGTGTGGCTGGCTAGCCAGCTAGCCTCATTTCCAAGAAGTTACATGCATGGGCCCTGTAGGGCATGGTGAGATGTGGTCATAGGTGGCAAAGCAAGAGGCTGTTTGTTGACCAGAAAGAGCAATGTAGATGGTAAGCAACCTATGACAGTAAACCGTGTTGTGTAATGAAATCAGCAAATCGGCTTCCACAGCTTGAGCAAGCTAGCCATGTCGGTGACATATTTGACAATTATTGGGTAGGCATAGGCCAGCTTAGCTCAATCATACATGGCTCCATCACCTAACTTTTATTTCTTGTTGATATTTTATGTTGTATTGACTTGTTTCATCCTACTTTACAGATCCAAATCACTCAATTGATTATGATTTTATGAATAAAATAAACTAAATGATTAAGTTGGAGAGTGTGAATTGAATTCTAGATGGCATCTTTGGGCTCGACAAGTGTGAACTTGTTTTTGCAAATGGTATCTTGGACCTAGCTTCGATTCCTTCTCCACTTCCAGGCTAGCACATTTCAACTCCTAATTTACAAGTATGTGCTTTCCTCGTACAATATAGGCTAGCACATTTCAACTCCTAATTTACATGTATGTGCTTTCCTCGTACAATAATAATGCAATTCTCAGAATTTAGGGTTTAGACCGGATGTAGTTAAAGAAGAATTAACGTAGTTAAATAACTAAAATTATGTTATTTTTAATTCTTAAATTATTTTTTTGAATTATTCTGGATTAAGATCTCATCGCAGTAAGCTTAAATATTGAATTTTAAAAAAACTAAGATGATAAGCATTATAGTTTAGAGTTTAAACATTATAGAATTTGTCACTTTCCTTCTTAACCTACTACTATTATGTTGTCTAAGATAATACGTGGCCATGAAGAGTTTTACACATTGACGCACAAGAAATTGGATCAAGAACACATTTTTCTTGTAAGAATTGTGATATTTTTGTCAAACCTGCAGATATCTTCCTTCACGAGAAGTTATCTATAATATTCAAGCCCATTGTAATGGTAAAAATGATTAAGCTGAAGAAGAGAAAAACGTCTATGGATATATATGGTTTAAACAAGATGGCCATCCGTCAAGCTGGTAGTTGAAGGCATGCTTTCTTTAATTCTGGTAAAATAATAATAATAATAATAAACTAGGTTAAATATTGCTGATGTTTAGTTGACGAATTCATGATTTCGTAAATTTTATATGAAAATACGAAGGAAAGCGTGAAAGAAACAATAGAAAGATTTGATTTTATAAAATATAATATTAAAGTACACGTAAGTAAAGTAAAATTAAAAATATAGAAATTAATTATCAAATAACTTTAAACTTAGAGCAAATCTGAGCAATTTAGCCATAAATGAATGATTATTATTTTTTATTATTATTCGATTAGCTCAGATGGAGACCAAGTTTTATTTTAATGAATGATGAATCGGTGAGCTTCAAATCTTCTCCTACATAAATCCGCAAGCTGGCTAGCAAGCCGGTCAAAAAACATAATAAATTGATTGGATAGTCAGCTAGCCTGCCAGCAACCAAAATTGAGAATCATAAGAACTGTTTTTCCTGGAGATTGACCCTCCTCTTCGTAGTCAAAGAATTATCTGCATCTCTTTATTTAAAATATAAGAATTAAAATTTGAATTATCTGCATTAAATATTAATTAAGCTTTTTTTTAGTCAAAGAAGCTCGAAAGATATCATACAGACAGCTAGAAGTTAATTTGCCACGTACATGTCATTAGCTACAAGTAAATCCTGCAGTCATGCATCCTGTTCTCTATTTCTCTTGCTATGGAGAAGTATGATCTCATTCATCTGAGCGTGCTCTAAGATAAAATAAAGCCTGTTCAATCCTTGTCGAAGAACATGAACATGAAATCAAGTGTTTCAAATCATTATTTAGATATCAAAGCATTAGCTAATCGAGTAGAGAAGGAGAGATCTTGGTGGACAAGCATAAGAGACTAATCTAGTGACTCATCAATTCAAGAGAATGAGAGTTAATTTAATGGGTTAGCATTAATTTTTTTATTTTAAAAATAATTTAAAATGATATTATTTTAATTTTTAATTTTTTTAAATAATACTATTTTAAATTAATCTAAAATAAATTATCCCATTGGAATAAAAAAGAGAGGGACAACCATAGATTCGTTCACTAGTTATATATTTTTTAAATTTGAGTGGTAAGTCAAGGGAGAGTTTTTCCTTTTCATATCTCCCCTCTTGTTTTTTCTCTCTATATCTTCCTCTTTTTTAATTTTTTTTTTAATTTTGGTCAATTTTGAAACTTTTTTAAGATAAATCCTTCCTCTGCATATTCTTTCATCAAAATCCCAGTATAACATTCTTGTCTTGTTGCAGCTCGCGATTTTATCCCCTTGTGTCCCCAAACATTTTTGAATTTAAAATTCTTAATTTTTTTAATAAAAATGTATATTTTTTATAAAATAAATTTGAAGATCCAAAATAGTTAATGACAACCTTTTTCTTTTGTATTTTGATATTTCCATTTCTTAGTCATCAAATTGATCATCAAAAAATTCTATCAATGAAAAAGAAATTTGATGATCAAAATATGTATAATAAAATCATAGATAATAAAATCACCCCACCTCTTGATTTGTTGATCATCAAAAAATTCTATCAATGAAAAAAAAATTTGATGATCAAAATAAAAAAAATATCACTTTTTAAATCCACAATGAATGTTGCACAATAAAAACATAGATAATAAAATCACCCCACCTCTTAATTTGTTTTTTTTATATGTATAATATGAGATAATTACAAAAATCCTCATATAGTTTTTTATTTATCTTTTGTTTTTAATTTTAAATTTAAAGAATTCTAGTTTTCTTCTATCATACTATGATGTCAATTAGGGCTCATTGAAATCGAGGGAAAAAGTATATATCAAGAAAAATCAAAATTATCACCTTATACTTAAAAAAAACTAAAAATATTAAAATATATAATAGTTTCAAATATTTATGTAGGAATTAATTATATCCAAGAGAAGAATAATATCATTCTTATTGCATCATTTTTTACAAAAAGTTATATTTATTACATTTTTTTAAATTTATATGTTTTATTGCCTTTAATTATTGTAATTTTTTTAGCTTATTTTTTTATTTAATTTCTAATTGTTTTATAAAAAAAATTAACATTATTCCCTAAAAATCTCTAAAAATAAAAACTTGTTGAGTTATTCTTAAAATTAAAATCTTAACACTAGTTCCTTTTAAAATGAAACTTGTCGTTTTGGGTTTTTTATTTTATTTTTTTTGCAAGATCTTTGAAATCAATTTCTATTAAAAAAAAAAAGGCTTCTCATTTAAATTATTTTTAAAATGATATTGCACCCATAAAAAATAGGTAAAAATGAGATTGGGTTGATTTTTAAAACACAAAAAATCGTTGGAAAATAATACGAAACGCATCGCGCGTGCCACTCGCGCGCTTGCCGATTTAAAATCGCTGAACTTGAACTCACGTGCTTGTCACGGGCCTATTTAACAAACCTGCAAGCAAATAAAAAATACGATTGTGAAGAAATTGATTTGGGATTTTTCTTTGTGGTGGTTCAGGGCTTCTTGTTTTGGGGAACTGTTGTGAGAGGGAGACATGGGAGGCGCCGCCGTTTAAGAGGGGGCTTCGGGTAAGATGTGGAGAAGATGCTACTGGGAAGCTGTTGCTGTCTTCGGTGGCGTAGTGTCGCTGGGTTGACATTGATGAGAGGGAGGTCACCAGCCATGGATGATTTGTGAAATGAAGAGGAGATGGGTCACGGATTCTGGCGTGGAAGGAGGGAATATGGGTCTGTGATGACGTTTTGGTTTAGTGTGTGACTGTTTTAGCGGGGCTTTCGCCAGAGGAAGAGAAGGATGTTTGGGTTTTATCTGGAGACAGGGGTTGGGAATAGTGGCTATCGTCTTCAAGTTTATATGAGAGAAGGCTGGGCTTGGAGATTGATTTGGTGGTGCTAGTGGTGTTTCAATCTGGGTATTTGGGTGGAGACAGGGGTTGGGAGTTATGGCTATTGTCTTCAAGTTTATATGAGAGAAGGCTGGCTTGGAGATGAATTTGGTGGTGTTAGTGGTGTTTCAATGGTTTGGGAAGTACGGATAAGAAACATTCTTTGGGTGCTTGGAGATAACCGATTTGGTGTCCATGGTGTGTTGAAAGGTTGTGCTTGAACCGGGCTAGCAAACTAAGTGTGGTTGATTGAATTAGGGAGGGGTGATTGTGACAAAGAAAACAGCTGGTGTTTGTGAAGGTGGCTTCGGTTTGGAGGTTACTGGCTTGTCTGTGAATCTAATTTGGTGTGTTTATGGAAGGAAGGTTAAAGATGAGGTTTTGGTGGCCTTGGGTTGATCCTGGTGTGGGTGGTTGGAGCAAGGATGGGTTATGGATCTTCTGGGAAGAAAAGATCCACTGTTGGCGCGGGAAAAATCGAGAGATTGATTATAGTGATGGGTCAGATGGGTGGAAAGGTTGTTGCTCTTAAAATGGGCAATGGTTGGGGCTCGGCTGGATTTGTGTGACGGAGATGGTTACTGCTGGTTGTTGATGCTGTTGTGGGAAAGGGAAGGAATCTTCCAGTGTTGCTGTGGTGGTTAGTTTTTTGGGTTTATGGCGGGGAAGATGGTTACTGTTGGTGTTGATGTGGTGGTGCTGTAAGGAATCGTGATTGAGAGAAGGAAGAAGATGAACAATACAGTGGTGGTTTGGTATGGAGGTGATGAGGCAGTTGCGTGGTTTTTGTTTTGGTGGGTATGAAGAAGGAGAGAAGGCTACTCTGGAAAGGCTATTTATTGGCGGTGAATGGGTGGTTGCAGTGGAGGCAATTGTTTTTTGGCCGTGGGTGAAGATTGAATTTGGGCAGTGTTGTTGAAGGAAGGGGATGATGTTGGTGAAGGCCCTTGTTGGCGGTGTCCCTCCTCTCTAGTTCTCTTTGCTGTGCTGGTTTTGGAGGAGATAAAGGTTAGGATTGTGGGAATAATGGTGATGTTTTGCAGAGGTGGGTGAGAAGGCTGGAGAGGTTGTTGGTTTTCTTGTTTTGGTGGGAAGAGGTAGCTGGTTTTTTAAGTCCTGTTGTTATTGAGAAAATCCGTGTTGTTGGTTCCTCCCTCCTCCTCCTGTTCGCTGTCTCCGTTCCATCTGTTTATGGAGAGAAAAGGCTGGAATTTGAATGGTTTTTGGGACTTGATTCCTGGAGATTTGGGCTGGAATCCTGAGATTGAGGAGCTGAAATTGGGAGATTGGAATCTGGTTTTAATTGCTAGGATTGTGACTGAACGATCTGAAATCAATTGCTGGATTTTAGGGTTTCATTACTAGATTAACTTGGACTGAATCAATGGAAAACAATGAGACCGAAAACATGAATTAAATGGGCTGAATTGAATTCATTTAATTCAATTGCACTCAATTGAAATTAAATTGGATTGGATTGGTTGGACTGAAAAGAATAGGACTGAAGCAGAGTTAAATAAAAAGTCAATTGATCCCTGGAGTATTTTCTCTTTTTCAATACAGTCCTTGGTTTGTTTTAAAAGAATTTCAATTTTAATCCATTTTGTCCTAAATCACTTTTCTTTCTTTAAATCACCCATCTTTTCAATAATATAATCAATTTAAATCTTTTTAGTTGTTTGTTGTAAATTGATTATTAATTCTAAAAAATAATGTAATTTTGGCTAATTTAACTTCTAAATCTTATTTTTCTTTTCAAATTAGTCTTACTTTTTAATTTTAATCTGATCAAGCTCTTATATTTTTCTAATCTTAACCAAATCAAAATTAAATTTAATTATTTTTCTTCAAAGAAATTCTTATTTGTAACATAAAAGTTCTTACCTGTGCTATTTAATTATTGATCTAATTTTTTTTTCTTTTCAAATAAGTTTTACTTTTTAATTTGATCAAGGTGTTTGAATTTTCTAATCTTAGCCAAATCAAAGTCAAATTCAATTATTTTTCTTCAAAGAAATCTCCTTTACGACTTAAAAGTTCTCAAACTTTGTTTTGCTTTGATATTCAATTATTGATCCAGTTTGAACTCTATTTGTATTTTCATGGTTTTTAACACACAAAAATTAAATAAAAATATAAAAATAGTGAAATGACTAAATTTACTGAAAAAATATTATTTAATTTTTTTTTTCAAAATATATACAAAAACATGGGAATTAAAAATTAAATCATAACATTCCATGGAATTTATTTGGTAGCGTGGTTATGAGTACTTTTCAAATAACTTTTCGTGCTAAAATATATATCAATGATATTTTTTTATTTAAAAAAAAAAATTTACATCAATATATCATTTTATTTTTTAAAAAAAAAATTGACATCAATATATCAAAAACAATTCAAAACATATAAAATATATTAAATTTTAATAAAAATAAAAAAATTAAATTTTTTAAAACACGATCCAATTAGTCAATGGGACAAATGAAATTATATTAAAAAAATATATATTTTTACTCTTGTTTATAATAGATGGAAATCTGCACAATTTTCTCACGGGAACACGATTATGTAATAAAATCCATGGAAGTTGATTTATCCTCTTCATTGGATTTTGTCTGGTGAAATTCTTCTCACAAAATCCAATTCCCAAAACAACTTTCTCACTGGGGACACGATCCACGAGCAAAATCCAATGGATATAAGTTGAAGAATTTGATTAAGAACCCGCGAACACTAGGTCCTAGATCTACATTCTATCAAGTTTCCTGCTTAGCATCTGTAGGGTGGTATGCCTGTTGGAGTTGGTAGCATCTGTGTTGCAAAATTGTCTGCTGCAAACTGTCACAAATCGGAGCACTTAAAGAGGCCAGAAAATTGGGCATTTGGTGCCCTTAAAGGCGTTTGCAACTTATTTCTCCTTTTCCTTTTCAACATCTGAGAAGGCAAAATAATTCTGCATCTTACCGTGTCTCCTGAATCCATTATGCTTGTTGTTGAACATGCAACTGCAGACAACAAGGTAAAGCAAGCTCGTGCAATTAGAGTTTGAAAATTTTTGATGATTTTTTTAGTGAAATTACTTTAAAAAACAGTAGATTAATTATTGCTTTTTTAAAAAAAAATTCAACAGTCTGAGACATGCATGTGCAGACCTTAATGATGAACCTTTTTGCTCCAGTTATCCGTGAGATGTTATTGATGTTCGCATTATTTCTAGACTGCTTGTTTGGTAAAAAAATAATTTTTTTAAAAAAAATAAATTTTTTGAAAAAAAATTATTTTATGATATTTATTAGTATAATAAAAAATAAGTTAAAAAATACTTTTTAGTATTTGGTTATGTCATGAAAAATAACTTATTAATATTTTTTCTTAAGGAAAAATAACTTATTAATATTTTTTTTTAAGATTATTAAAATAATAAGGAACAAATCTTACAAATTAAAAAGTTGAATAAGAATAAAATTGAAAAAAAATATAATTTCATAAATTATCTCAAATAAAATAAATAATAACAAAATAATAGAGATCAAATCTAAAAAATAAAAAAATTAAGAAATTAAGATAATAACAATTAACATTTCATAAATTATTTCAAATAAAATGAATAACAATCAAAAGAATAAGAACCAAATTGATAGATAAAGAATTTTAATAAAAAAATGATAGAGAAAAAACAAATAACAATTATAAAAATTAGAACTAAATTTAATATAAAAAATAAATTTTAAGAGATGAAATTAAAAAATAAATATTCAAAACAAAATATATATAACAATCAAAAGTTTAAAAACCAAATTTGATATAATCAGCAAATAATATGATATTTCTAAATTTTTCACAACTTCCGGAAAGTATTTTCCGCTTAAATTTTTCAGGAAAACACTTTTCTAAAAACCAAGTTCAATTTTCCATTGATTAACTTTTCTAATGGCAAACAAACACATGAAATTTTATAAACTAGTTTTCAGGAAACAAACATAACCTAGATTAACACTAGCTATCTAACTTGCAGTTTATCATGGGTAGAAGATTTCTTTTTAATAAAATAAATAAATACAATGGCATTTTAGATATGTTTTTTATATAAAAAAATTCTAAATGCAAGCATAAATACCTACACATATATAATTAAATAAATTAAAAGAATATCTATATAAATAAATGAAAACAATCACATAAATGGAACCAAAATGATCTTTGAATACCTAAAAAATCACTGCACTTAAAATTAAAAATCTTTTAGAGTTTAGATCTTGTTTTTTAGGTACTTTCAAAATGAAAAAAATAACTAAATGAAAATTTCCTTGTCAAATAAAACTTATTAATACCAAACGCCTGTTTGTTTACTAGAAAATAGTTTTCTTTTGAAAAGTGAGTTCTAAAAAAGTGAATTTCAAGAAAATGAATTATTTTATGATATTTGATAGTGTAATGAAAAATAAGTTGGAAAGTATTTTTCAGTGTTTGGTTATGTCATGGAAAATGAGCTAGAAAATCATTTATTAATATTTTATTTTTCTCAAATTTATTAAAATAATGAGGAACAAATCTTACAAATTAAAAAGTTGAATGAGAATGAAATTGAAAAAAATATATAATTTCATAAATTATCTCAAATAAAATAAATAATAGACATCAAATCTAAAAAATAAAAAGATAAAAGATAAAACAAATTAAAATAATAGTAATTAACATTTAATAAATTATTTCAAATAAAATGAATAACAATAAAAAAAAAATGAGGATCAAATTTGATAGATAAAAAATTTCAATAAAAAAATGATAGAGGAAAAGCAAATAACAATTATAAAAATAAGGACTAAAGTTAATATAAAAATTAAATTTTAAGAGATGAAATTGAAAAATAAATATTCAAAACAAAATATATATATATATATATATAGCAATCAAAAATTTGAGGATCAAATTTGATATAATTAGCAAATAATATAAAATTTCTAAATTTTTCACAATTTTTAAAAAAAGTGTTTTTCATCCAAATTTTTCAGGAAAACACTTTCCTGAAAACCAAGTTCAATTTTTCTTCAACTAGAAAGTGTTTTTCGTTAACTAATTTTTCTAATGGTAAACAAATATAGAAAAATATGAAAAATAATTTCTCAGAAAGTAAATTTCAGGAAACAAACATAGCCCATGATTAATTATTTGGGTAGCTGAAATTATTGTCAACATTGATTTTTTTTACTGTTGGAACTTACGATCTCTCTGTTTTTTTTTTTTTAATTAATGACTAAAAAATAAAAAAATAAGTTTTATATGTCAAAATTAAATTGCAAAAATAATGAGAAACCAAATAAGTATAACTTGAATAGTTTAAGGACTAAACTAAATTTTTTATGAGATTTGTGAAATCATGTTCTATTTGTGACATTTTTGTACTTTAATTCTATCTTTTATTTTGTTTAGATGAAAATTTTGATTCAATTCTTGTTTAACTTAGTCTAAAAAATATAATCATGTAAAAATAAAGTTGAAAGATTAAAATTTTTAAAAATTAAATAGTAAGTCAACTTTGAAGTTTGAGAATATGAACAACGTTTATGTGCATAGTGTTTTACGAACAACATTTAGAATTTTGTATAATAATTGTCATATCAACAAACTCATATATGTGGGTCTTTTTTCAAAATAGTACATATGACAAGAACAGATTTGCAAACTATGGAAAAATTAGGGTAATAGCATACTTTTTGGGGCAGAATACATGCTAAGAGTAACGAAAAAAACAGAAAACAAAACACATGCACACGATATATAGAGGAAACAGCAGTCCCCCTAATCAAGAACAGAAACTTGAAAACTCGAGCCTGTTATGTTTTCGGTTCCTTCTGACAACTGATCATCTTCACCATCTCTTCCAATCTTACAACTAAATCTCTCTTTCTCTCTCTCACCCTCTCTCTCTCCTTCTTGGTGTTTCAAATGGAATCAAGTACACAATTTTCCAAGACCAAGATATGAACTCCACACGTGGGACCCACAACACTGCCACTCCCCGCCGCCGCCGGAGGAAAACCACCAGCTCCGTTCGACGGAAGCTCAAAATCCCGCCAACCCCTCTTTTGCATTGGAAGTTTCTTCAAGATGATAGCAAGAGCAGACACCCCGCCTCCTCCGGCAGCGTTGCCAGCGGAGTGAAGGCGGCCGGACAGGGGGGTGTTGGTGTTGGAGGTAGTAGGGCTGCAGTGTCGGCTAGGAAGCTGGCGGCTGGGCTGTGGAACCTATGCTTGGCGGGTGGTGGTGGAGGTGATAAAGCTTTGAACTTGAAATATAGGAAAACTGATGAATTGGGGTTAGAGGTATGTATTTTATTAATGTTTTGATTTAAAATTTGACCCGTTTTTGTGAATGAATTAAATTGTGTATTTTTTTTACTTGAATGCATGTTTGGTTGCTGAGAAAGTTGAAATTAGTCCAAGCAGTTCTCTTTTATTTATTTATTTATTTTCAATTTTTTGGCTGGCATATTTTCTTTCTCTTCATGATAGAGACTTGGCAGATAGCACTTTGTTGTATTGAGGATTCAGGTGACCAATCGAATGCAATGGGCCATATGTTTGCTTGTTTTCTTATAATTGCATGTTCACTTTTATTTTTCTTAATGGATTGTTATTGATTTGTCTAGTCTCTAGATTGCTAAGAGAGTGCAGAAGAAAAGGGAGGTCATAATTTCTTCTATCATAGTTTTTTTTTTTTTTACTCATCAACGAAAATTTACCATGATAACAAGAGGAAGATTGCAATTTTTTATTTTTTTGTCCATGTGCAGTCACTTAGTACTAAAGAGAAATGTGGAAAAGGATTTTCTTTTTCATTTTGGGGCCGGTATAATGAGTTATCCTTGATCTACCTGATTCTACATATTTATTACCTTGATAAAGTGTGAAAAAAAATGATGAACTTGTCTGATTATTTCTCAAGTGCATCTGGGCTGATTAAAACTCATCTAGCAACGACTGAGCTCGTGAATCTCTTTTTGTTTAGTAATAGTTTGCGGTTGTGCATTCTCATTGCCCTATTCTTGGATGTTTGGCTTGTTCCGTCAAGGTCAAGATCAACAGGAGTACTTAATGTCTAATTGAGCTTAATAATGTAATGGTCTTATTGGTTTCGCGCAGCTTGTTTCATGTTCTATTTGAATGTCCATCCACATTTTGTTGCCATACCAGTTTTGAGATGCCGTATTTTACTTGCAGCCTGGTGTTGGGCAGGGAATTCGTGTCCAATTCAAAGCATGGGATCCTATGCAAGGCGTGCATTCTTTACCAGTAACATCACTGTTTTAACAGTTTCCTTGCTTAACCTTAAGCTTTCTCAATAGGGTGGCCTGGACCCATTAAAAATGTCTGAATACAGATATGCAGTCCAACTTTAGCTAATATCATAAATAGGAGGTTATCTATCCATGGTTTGATTAGACTGAACTTTGTCATAGTATGCCCTTACCATCTTCTCGTCTCATCTTCGTGTTGTTAATAGTATTCATGACATCTGGACCAAATAATAGACAAAGAGGTTGTTTTTATTTATTTATTTATCTATTGTACTTTCAATTAATGACTTGCTTGGTAACCAGAATCTACCATGTGGTTTCTGGTTTTATCATTTACTTTCAGTTTGGTGAAGTCAGTTTTGTATGTGTTCTTTATCTTTCCTTTTTTTTATATATATGTTAGATTGAATCCCCATTACTGCATTCTAAACATATCATGGAGGGTGCAATGAAGTGGGAACCGAGATGCTCAAGAAAATTCAGTGACATCTGCAGCTTTTATAGCCACACAAAACTTCTTGAAAATCAAGTTGCTATGGTGTCTGCTTCTGCCATGCAAGAACAACTTGTGCAAGCTCGATTGCGCATTCATGAGCTTGAAGCTGAGTGCCAGTCTTATAAGAAGAAAGTCAAACACTTACAGAAGAAGCTGGGAGAAGAAAGAACTTCATGGCAGAGCAGCGAATGTCAGAAAATTCATGCAGTTATAGATGATTGTGAAAATCAAATAAGCAGGGAAAGAAAAAAACGTCAAAAGCTGGAACTTCTCAATTATAAATTGGTCAATGAGTTATCAAATGTCAAATCCTCTGCAAAGCAGTTCAGGGAAGATTATGAAGAGGAGCAAAAGGCCAGAGAAATAATGGAAGAAGTTTGCAATGAACTTGCCTATAAAGTTGCGGAAGATAAAGCTGAAGTTGAAACATTCAAGACTGAGTCCATCAGGATTCAGGAAGAAATGGAAGAAGAGAGGAAGATGTTGCAGATGGCTGAGGTATGGCGTGAAGAACGTGTCCAAATGAAGTTGATTGATGCAAAACTGGCCCTTGAAGACAAGGATTGCCAGATGAATAAATTAATAACAGACCTTGAAACGTTTCTAAGGTCAAGAAGTGGCACCTTGGATGTGAATGAGTTAAGGAAAGCCGAGTTGATCAGACAAGCAGCAAAATTGGTAAATGTTAAAGACATCAAGGAATTTTCTTATGCCCCACCAAAATTAAGTGATATATACTCTATTTATGAAGAACTCAAGCAAATTGAAGACAATGAAAGGGAGATTGAAGAATGCAAGAAGAACAGCCCTGCAAGCAATGCTTCCAAACTCCATCTTGCCATTTCTGATTTGAATGCCTATAACTACCATTCTTTGCAGCAAGGGTCGACTATTATTAATGATGATAACTGTCATTTAGAAGAAGACGCAAGAGGCTATGATGCAGTGAGTCATGCTGAGGGTCAAGGTTCGAGTTATTCCCTTGAAGGGAATCAACTCTCTGTTAGCAGGCTTAGCCAAAGCAAAAATGCTTGGCAGATTGCAAGAGAATGTGATGAGAATGAAGCTCAGAATTCTCCAAACACACAAAGTGGTGGTGTCTACTCGTTTTCAGGAGAATCAATGCACAAGGCATCTTCCATATCTAAGCTTTCAAGATCTGCCCAACGTAACAACAAATGCTATGAGATAACAGCAGATGACAGTGATGGAGTGGCCTTGAATGGAAAATTTTCTATTAAGGAGACTTCTCCCAGAAGAAAGTCGTGGGAAGGTATGCTTCGGCACCAAGATTCCATGGAGCAGTGGAGCTCACCAGAGTCAGTGAATCCACACGTTACTCAAGGAATAAAAAAGCTATTTAAATGGTCCCGAGGCATCCAAAAGAATAGCTTGAAGGCCAAGCTTTTGGAAGCCAGGATGGAAAGCCAGAAAGCTCAGCTGCGCAGTGTTCTTAAACAAAAGATTTAGGTGTAGTAACTTCCCAAAATTCTGCTGTTTGAGCAGTTCTAACCAGAAGAACAATGTGTCCGTCAGCCCAAAAGCCTCGTTAATGCTGGAGTTTAGGGGAGAAAATTGTAAACCTCAAGTAGACGGACATCTATCGATCGATCTTCTTGCATGCTTGTTTCATCGATCATTATCAGCCCTGGTTATATATTCTCTGCATCTGTTGCCAAATTACAATTTGCCATATATCATGAATGAATTGTTTGCCCTTATAGGACTCTGCTTATTTTCATGCAAGTCATTAAAGATAGAACGCATTATACTCGGATGCACTCGCTGCGTTGTCAGATAAATGCTCAAGGAAAATATCTAAATCCATTTATTACAGAAATAGCATCTTTCTCTGTCATCTACTTTGTCTTGATTCATCATAATGCTGTTGTAGAATACAAGACGCCAGCTGCTAACTTCTTTCTCTTTACTAGCTCCATTTGATGAAGCCACAAAAAGGGAAAAAAAGTGGTTACTGTGAAAAATATGCATTTCGATATTCTTTTGTTTCTCTCTCTGATTTTTTTTTTTAATGAAGTTTTTATGTTAAAATTCGTGCTCTGGAGGCTAGCTGCTGAAGTTGCACTATTTCATGGAAATTAACATTCCAAAGTCATTCGTTTTCAAGTTTTTTCTCTTTTGCTTTCATGCTGGTGGGGGCAAGATGCTGCTATGTTTGTCAAGTTCTATTTGCTTACTTTAGGCCCTTTAAGAACAAATTGATATGTGTGAGATTCTGCAACATCCAGATACAGATAAAACTAGAGTTGTTTGGACATCGTTTTGCCTCCTTTTTGCACCCCACTTGCATACATGTTCATGCTTGTCACTATGTGTCCCTGTAAAATTGAAATGTATGCTTCTTTTTTTAACTCAAAGTTTCATGGATTTAGAAAAAAAAATTTCATTTAGTAATTTTTTTTTACTTCTCATGAATTTATCTTTATTGTATGACCTAAATCACGAGTTTAATAGATTAATCTAAGTTGATAAAATTTTTTTTGTTGTTTTATCTAATTTATTTTATTTAGATTTCATTCTTTAATATTGAGTTTATTGAAAATAGAGGTTCATAACTTTTTTTTTATCTGTTTTTTATAAAGTTATTCTAATCTCAAGACTTGAATCGTGGGTTTCACAAGTTGACTCTATTTATTTTTTGGTTTGTTTTTTAATTGGGTTTCGTGATTTTTTTTTATTTGCTTTGCATGAGTTATTTTGATCTTATGAGCAGGGTTTTGACGAGTTGACCTTGTTCATTTTTTGAGGTTTTTTTTTAATTGATTTTTTTTTCAATTTTACCCTTCAACAATTCAAATCCTCTTTTTATTTAGTTTTTTTTTTAATCTCATCCTTTGATATTAAATTATTTGAAAATTGAGTTTTGTAATTTTTTTTAATTTTTTATGTGAAGTTACCATGATCTCAAGAATTTAATTTTTTTCTTTCAATTTCAATCTTCAACATTAGATACATTAAAAATAAAGTTTTTTTTTCTCTTTTTTTAACTGATCTTTTTATATCATCCTTCATATTAGCTCAAGCTTCATAGTTTTTTTTTTTCTAATTTGTTTTATGTAGAGTTATTTTAATTTGATAATCCGAATTCTGAGTTGAGCAAGTTAACAAGGGTTGATTTGGGTATTTTTTTATTTTTTTAATATATTTTTTAATTTCATCTTAAAAATTGAATATTATAATTTATGTTAATTTTTTTATAAGACTATTATGATCTTATTATCTGGGTTATAAAGTTGATATATAAAATCTTGATAGTTTTAATTTATTATTTTAATATTTGAGAAATAAAAATTAGTTAATATGTTGTTGTATTGATATTTAAAAAAGATGTTTAATATTTATTATATTTTAAATTAATGATTAAATTTTTTTTATTAGAAAACATATTATAAAAGTTTAAATATGTTTTTACGTTAAAAAAAATAATAAATATTGTATGGAAGGACCCGCTGTTAGATGGGCTTGTTTATTTTGTGCTCGATACCGTTCTTGTGATCTGTCACACATGGACAATGTCATAGGGCCCGAGGTGAAGGAGTGGGACCCAAAATCTCTTGTAATTGAAAATGGGATTCCCACTAATCTTTGTTGGAAATACTTAGCTATTTTCAAAATAAATTAGCTGAAACATCGAGCCTAGCTGTGGATAAGTCTCCACTGTGAGGTCGTTTTTATTTTTAAAAGAAAAAAATACATGTTTCAAAGAAAAAATTTTATAACTTGATACATGTGACAAGAGCAAATAAAATCAAGACAGACAAATAATCAAGACAGACAAATAATCCCTAGCAACATCAACTTGAGTTAGCATCCAAATATGTAACTTATGTAACAAATATTGAGCCAACTTTAGATTATAAATCTGATAAAAAAAATTGAAAATTATAAAGTTTGTTTTTTTAAAAAAAATAATGTTGAATGATAAAAACTTAAAAAGATATGTAAAATAACAAAAATGATATCAAACTAAGTTAAATTGTTGAACTTATGATCCATATCATTAAAAAATAAATACTATTTAAAAAAAATTATGAAATCTAATTCTTAGCTAATTAAATGTTAAAGGATGAAATAAATAAATACACACGCACACATAAAGGATCTGAAACTAAAAATAGCAATTAAAATAAAAATAAGTAAATTAGTGGTCAACTTTACTTTTGAATGAAGGGTGAAATTGAAAATAAAAATCAGTTCAACAAAAGAATTCTAAAAATTAGGATTGGATGATAAAATTAAAAATAAATCAAAATTTTATAAAAATATAGAGAATAAAAATTAAAAAAAAAATATTAAAAATTGCTGTTGAAATCTCTATAAATTAGAGGATAACTCTAAAATTTTACATAACATTACTGCCAATAACAAACCATTTCACCAACGTTGTTATAGGGCTTCCAACAATACAATGAAAGCTGGTTTTAAGCTTATAGAAGGAGCTGATAAGAGGAGTCGCTCGAAAGTCTCGAGCATCTTCCACGTGTTGATATACACATTGCTTGTACCAACTATTTTTTTAATTATATTTTATATTTATTTAAATATTAAATCACTCCTTAGCCATGTTGATTATAACTAAAAAAAACTAAATTTAAAATTCTTGGTTAACGCTTAAGTTAATCATTTACCATTTTTTTTTTTCCAAAAAAAGGTGCGTATGGGGCATGAGAGGATCAAGTGGCAATGTCTGGGTCCCCATATGAGACCTTGTAAGAAGACGGGGTCAAGTCCTGGCAAGTTGAACACACGAGCTTCCTGGATATCTATAACCCACTTGCCAGTGGATAACTTTTTTATTCAGAGAGAATAGGGAATAGAGTATACAGTGAAAAATCGATAAGCCAATAATGCCAGGTATAGTATTGTTCGTAGAAATAAATACTATTTTTTAAAATATTTTTTATTTAAAAATATTTTAAAAAAATTATTTTGACATCAAGATAATAAAAAAACATAAAATATAATTTAAAATAAAAATACTCAAACTATTTTAGAAAACCAAACACCCCGGAATCGTTGATTTGGTTTTTCATCAATGAGATTAGATGCGTTGGCTCTCTTAAGATGATAACGTTGAGAAACTTAAGATAGAATGAGGATTTTCTTTTTTAATTTTTTGATACAAAATTAAATGTTCGGTGCAAACTGAATGATCCTTGGCTTATTCGTATCCAAAAGGTTAAATAGTATGTTCATTTAATTTCATTCTATATTTTTTTATTAATATTTTATTATAATGAAATTAAATCATTATACAGTGCCTGTATATAACAATCAAGACTTCTCCTCCTCCTCCTCGAAACACAGTGCCACCTACCAAGATGACCCAAAGCCAACAATAGAAAAGGAAACAACATTATGAAGAAGTAGACATGGAGGGGAGGCTGGGTCGAGGCTCAGGAGACAAAATGTCGTGGAAAAAAACTAAAAAGCTTTGAACAAGTAGAAGAGCCAGAATTCTCTAGGGTTTGATACTGACACTTCACACCCACATCTCTTTAATTATGGCTTTCATGGAAGCTTGTTGATATATTCTTATCCTCTTGGAGTTGGTTTTCAAGATGAGAAAATTAGACACAGACATCCAACTGTTGGAAAGAAAGAGAATATTTCTCTTGAAATAAAATGTTTTCTGAAGATTAGAAAATCAGCTCAATCATGTCAAGGGATTTTGAATTTAAGATTCTTTCTTGTGTGAAATAAAAATAGGAAGACTTGTTAAAACATGAGGTTCTAAAAATGATTTTATTTATATTTATTATGTAATTTAAACAAATACACTATTATATGTGTTTTATTCAAATAAATTTAGGGACCTTTTAACCTTATAGAAAGTTGTATTATTCCTTTTCTCTCATATTTGATAAAATATTTAATATACATCGTAAGAATTGATCTCATATCATAGATATTTTTTTTATCACATTAGACATAAATAAAAAAAAATTCAATATTATTATTGGATGTGATGTAAAATAAGAAATATTATGTTTTCTTTGTATAGATTTATCTTATGCAATATGTTACACCATAACAGAGGAGTCTCCTGATTTGGGTGCTCATCAAATTATCTCAAAAACTTGTTTCAATTTGGTATCATAACCTCTTTATTTAAAATAGATTTACACTTTCGTCTCCTTCACATGGTTAGCTCATATTTTTCCTGATCTTTTTGTCGCAAATGTGATTCTGGGCCTCTCTCATCTCCTTTGATAGGTTCTTCTCCTAGCTACCGCAGACCTTGTTCCTTTCCTCTTTGCTGTAAACGTGATTTCAAGATTCTTTGCTTGTTTGTTATTCTACGTAATCAGTCAAAGCATGCTCATCTCCTTCTTCTTAGTTTGTTTTATGTGACAGTGATTCGCAGTTCAACTTCTGTGTGATTTATCTTTTATTTTTATTCAGTTTTTGTTATCTTGCTATTACTAATCTGACTTGTCACGATTATTGTTATAGATCCATTGGTTAGTGCAGCTGCTAGCATCAATATCAAACCTTCTTCTCCAAATTCATTCCCTCCAGCTCCTGGATGAACAACAACAACCAAACAAAACCATGACTTCCTCTACTGCGACAATAACATTTATTCCCCTCTCCAACACCGAGCAAGTTATTAATCTCAAACTCACCAACAACAATTATTTGTTTTGGCGTGTGCAGATGAAACTGTATCTGATTGATCAATGAGTCTTCTTGTTTGTTGACGCTTGACTTCATGTCCCTCTCAGCATTATCTATCTAGTACTATTTTTATTGCCTCTACTAGCGTCAATTCTAGCCCTGCCCTAATGTTTCTAACTTGGAAACAACAAGATTAGCTTATCTTTAGCACTTTATTGTCCTCTCTTTCAATTGATGTTCTCTATCTTATGGTCGATTTTCCAACTTCTACCGGTGTTTAGAGCACTCTTAAAAATGCTCTTACCTCCCTATCCAATTTTAGGATCATGTAATTGCATTGCTCTT